CTTCTTCGGAAAGATCTTGGTGGTTCTTGAGATCGGGATCGTCACGGTCCTCAGGGTGGAGAGTTTCGCGATACGTATTCTTGGCGACCAGGTCGTTAAACTCTTCTTGAGCGGCAGTTGACATGACGGGCAGATTTGGAGGGAGGGGGGCAGGTTTAATATGTATGTGTCTCGCAAAAAAGTGTAGAGGTGAAGATGGTCAATGCCAGAGCAGCCAGGGCCGAACTTGGAAACACAAGTGTTGTATCGTTCTGGAAGATGTGGAGAAGGGGTTAAGGCACACAAAGGCGAAATCCGAGTTAGAGAAGACCACGCAAACAGGGAGTTTATCGATACAGGCAAGGATATCGCCAGGAACAGGGCGGTGAGATGAGCGAAAAGCTTGGATCCAAGGGTCAAATTGTCAAAAGGTGACGAGGCAATCCAAGTCCAAGGGGATGGGATCCTCTTTTTCCGAGCTTGGTTTGTTTCAGAATTCGAGTCTTTGGTGAAGGAATGTTTAAGGAGACATGCAATCGACAAGAAACAATAGAGGGACGCGGTCGAGCCACCTGATGATCTGTCCTGGAAACGGTGCAGAGGGCGCAAGACTCGGGCGGAGCAGGGATTGAGCGCTCGTTGCAGCCCGCCGAAATAGAAACGCCTTCACTCAGTTCGAATGGATATGGAAATGAGTATGACATTTCGGGCAGTTGGTGGATCGCGCACCAATCAGATTGTGGAATAGTAAGCTGAGTCTGGTGATGCTAATACCGACCATAACCTTAAGATATGCCTTAGAGCAGCCTCTAGAATTATATTAATGCAGATCTCTTGATAGCCACCTCCTCGATCAAGATAGACTCGGTAGAGCACATTCCCCAATGGGTTCTCTGAACGCCCATCAAGATTTCCTTTCATCATTGGGTCTCGAGGTCTTCTGATGCGACGACAATAAGACACAATGGCCACAGAATGGCTCTTCAAATGCAAGCCACGCAAGTAGTCAGGGGTGGGATAGCTCCAGATTAAGCAAGGGTCCAGGGTTCACAACGGCTTTTTCTTCACTTGGGGCAAAAGGCTACGTCCTCTGTGTTATTAATCGGCATGGCCGGATATGGATGCTACAGATGGATGGCAAATTGTCGATGATGTTGCATTCCGTTCCGGGACGGGTCACCTGGCCCGAGGAGTTAATGGGACTAAATTGCTGAAGAAGTTGCTGAAATGAGATTTGATGCGGCAAAGTCGCACCAGTGAGTGCCAGCAGTCAGATGGATGGGCTGTTCAGTTGCATTCAGGGGCAAATGCGACGAAAGGTAACGTACCAGTCAGTTTATGGCATGTGGGAGAGGAATGCGTGCGTTGCTTTGGTTGTTTTGACAATACGGTCTGATGGTAAATCAAGACGTGAAGAGACCACTCATGGTTGAGTCACCAGATCATGATCGTATCAAAACTTGACCTCATCTGATCTGAGCTTGAAGCGCATCAAACAAAGCGCCCAAGGCAACGGAACATCCATCCACATCCACGCTCAGTCACATCAAGCTCTGCGACAGTCCAGAAACGGACTCGGCAATGCCACGGGTTCCTGACATGAAGTTACAGGGTCCAACACCCAATCAATCTTAGATCTTCAGCCAATCATAAGCAGATACTGTAATCCACTCTGCCAGGTACGACATGGGTTTCATCTCCAGGCTGAGCAAAAGCCAACGCCAACATCAAAGATACTCGGAGAATTCCTTTCATCACAACATCATTCGCAAGCATTATCGAAATCAAGTCAAGCTCATCACGAGTTCCTGCCTCTTAGAGATCCGTGCACTGCCTCTCTTGTTACCTATGTACTCACTCCCCAACGTCGTAGCATAAGCATGACCCGGCTTCTTCATCTCCAGGTCCAATTGAGGCTATAGGGCCGCTAGCGTATTCCGCAGTTGTTTCACGATCTCGTTTCAAGCCAGGACATGGATCCAATTGGATAACTACGGTCAAGGAAATAACAGAAGCCGAGGATGGCGGCACGCGACTCTTGCTTCGACATGACGACTACGATCGTGGCGTCAACACGGAACGTCAAGGCAGGCGGTGACAAAGCTTGGACTTGTAAATAACGGTCAGGCTCTTTGTCTGCTTCAGTTGTGAATCACAACCTGAAGATGAATGAATGCATTGTTGTTTGTGTTGCCAAAACAATGCAAAGAGTCATAGCAACCAACAGCGGTGATTCCTCGCCTGATACTTTATGCCAAAGCATTGTTTACATCTCGAAGTGACTTTCGAATCTTGAAAGTCATTCATGCCTCGATCTTCGACAGTACGAATCTTGTGCTTGGACGCGTTGGTCTGACAGCTCAGATCGGTCAACCTCACTGACCCAGGCGTTGCAAGTCGCTGTTGTAAAATAAGCAAAAGTATTGATCCAGGTCCCCTTCTCTCAGCTCCTGATGGTCTTCTAGCGCGTTTCCAATCCTTCTAATGCACATCATCACAAGCAATGACCATACTACTCTTATTTCCCCAGACCCAGCCTCGTCAATAACATCATGGCATGGCCAAGGCTGACTGACTCATGCGAGGCACAATCAATGGCAGTTTGCTATCAGAACCTTATGCCATCGCTAGTTTATTCATATTATAGCTCGGCATTGGCTGCAGCTGTCACGAGAACTTCATATGTCATAAATTACAAGGTGTGTGCTGGCGGAGTCCTCTACACGGTCAAAGCCGTTGGATAATCTATGCTTCGGCTTCCCCGAAGCCTTCTAGAACGATAACCGTCTTACTCAGGGCCCTGTTTCTGATTGCACTTTGATCAATAGGTTTTAGCATTGATCAGTTCCTGACACATGTCACAACTATTATGCCCCGAATTGCAACAGTTCAGCTTCACTATACTGTTAGTCTCGCCCGTACCGCCAACAAGCCATGGCATAGTGTCGAATGCATTCATGGCATGCCTTCTTCCAAGTTCACCAACAGTGTATCACGGCGACCACGAGAACCCTCGGGCCATTGTAAGACACGGGCTTTGTGATACCATCCTTTGACAACACATCTCGTCTATATCCCGTGACGCATCGTCCTACGTGAAGTATCTATCTTGGTTGTCGTGTTCTTTTTCCTGGTTCTGAGTACGTCATGGCTGATTTCATCGTCTACTTGACCTTGTTTGTGCTCTCGTCAAGCATTGTGCTGGGATGGTCCCAGTCCTACTTGACTAAGGTATCGTAACTGGTGAAAGAGAAACAAGTGGCTCCTTCATTGCCGTGGATTTCGACAGACTGGCTATACTATCTGATCAATGTCCGCAAGTTTTTTCAGCTCCGTTATTCGTGTTCTTCGGTAGGTATATATGACAAGATTTGTGAAAGTCCATGTGTGTGTCTCCAACTTGGTTCTGTTATCTGAGAATAGCATCATCTTTCCACATGCGGGAACCATTTTCGCAGTCTTCCCTGAATTCCTAAGACTTTCCCAGTTTTATACCTGAAACGGTGGAAGTACTGATAGTCAACGAGTGCGCACCGTCCTTCACGTTATCTCAACCCTCACCAAACTGGATTGTCAAGGCACTTGGAGGAGACAGTAACACAATGACAAGAGCCATTCTCTGTGATATACTAAGTATTCTTTAACCTAATTCCCCGAGACGGACTTAACATGTGCTACCGGTCACCGAGACGAGCACCAAGCATCATTCGTTAGTAACAATGTGCCTATGACAGACAACGGGACCCTAGTTGCATCATTCATCCAATATCTTATGGAGTTCATTTAACGGGAGTCATCATCTAATGCCACAAACTCGTAGATCCCCAGTCTCGCTGTATCATCAGAAACCTGTAGGTAAAGCTCACTTGTCCCTTATATCATAAATCAATTTCCACACATTATGTCAAGCCTCCGGACAAGAAAAACGGGATAAGTGTGGAACGTTGACGTGCAACTTTATTGGAATGCCTATTTCGTCCCTTCTACAGCACCTATGTATCATCTATAGTAGCCGCATTACTTAACACACACGTCCGACAGCAAATACACCATGCGACTGGGGACACTTGTCTACTTTTTTAGTGATCGTGTTCACTAAGCTCTCTTAGCCAAAGCCTGCCCATTGGTTATGACTGTCGGAAACAACAGTGACGAGACAGCAATAGCGATACCGGCAGGTGTGCCATCAATATACCGTTGTCAGAACTTGCCATAACCCCGCTGGAAACCCTTTGCCATACAGATTCGATAAACAGTTTATTTGAATGTTCCTTGCTCGTCGAGACCAGTGATCCAGTCGGAGCTTTCAAGTTCGTGCTCAGCACCGAGACTCAGGCCTGAAATTGGCACGGCAATGGGAACATTGGCAAAGATTCGCGGTGGCAGGAGAAAAGGCGTATAGTTTTGGAACATCATGATGTATTATCTCGAGGTCTGAAATTTTTGCTCGGTATAGCCGTCAACTCCCATGGATTCCCCTCATATAAAATCGTCCCCCACGGCATTGCAGATCTTGGCTCCTTGAATTATTCGTTTGCAGTAGAAACGGCCCGGAACCGAAAGACATGTGCCGTCGAGTCGATACGCATACAAAGGGCAACTGAACAGAGGAAACCCATCCAATAATACAACCACCCATTACTAACAGCCCGCGTTGTGTCAGAAAAGGGGAACTATGGTGCAGAGAATTTTGCAGGTGCGAGAAAAAACAGGAAACGGGGAAAACAATAAATAGGGAATAATGAAAAGGAGGTATCGCATCAGCCAGTGTATTTTCTTCCCCAAGTCCACCACGAATAATCGAGTCCGGCTGGGGAAAGTCGTCGGTAGGGGTATGTGTTAAAGGTAAGGTGCGGTTCATCACGTCGTCCTGCATTCGCTAGTAGTCGCGATCAAGGTAGGCGTCCTTGGATTTCGGATTCGATGGGCAATATAATCGTTCGAACACAGATGGTATAGTCGCCGCGGCACGTACTGGCATTTGTGTATCCAGACAAAAGGTTCATAGTCGCAAAGAACAATTAGTAGGCCCAGATTTTAAGCTATTGTTGTTAGTCAATATGCTCTTGGTGTACGATCTTATTCGTTGACAGAAACTTACCAGAGAATCCCAAGATCCTGTGCACAAGCTTGTGCCATCGTTGCTTACACCCAAGCAGCTGACACGGTTCTCGTGGCCAACGAGAGAGCCAACCTTCTCGCCTCGAGTAATATCCCAAACCTAATAGATTTGTTAGCTCACGAGTTCCAGAGAAGATGAGCTTGTAATCACAAGCACAAGTATGCCTTACCTTGCACTCAAAGTCATCGTAACCAGCGAAAAGAAGGCGACCCGATACAGATGTAGCCACCGAGGTGATACCACAGAGAATGGACTCGGACTGCCAATTGCGTTAGTCGAAGTCAAAGAACCAATCTGCAAAAATCCACACTTACTCCGTAGAGGTTAAGTTCGCGATCAGCGCGGATATCGAAGAGACGGCAAGTAGCATCATCAGATCCGGTCACGAAAGAGTGTCCGTCAGGGAAGAATTGGATGGCGTTGATATCGGACTCATGGCCAGCAAAGGTCTGGACGGCCTTTCCAGCGCGAATATCCCAAAGCTTGGCGAAAGCATCACAAGCACCAGAGATGAAGGTGTTTTGGTTGGTAGGGTTAAGGCTGATGCTCATCACATCACCAAGATGGTCAGCAAACTCAGTAACCTTCTGGCCCGTCTCAATATCCCACTTCATACAGGTCATGTCACCAGAAGATGTTAGGATGCTGCGGTCATTGATGAATCGACAGCAAGAAAGATAACCAGCGTGACCAGAGAGCTCACGGGCAACACGGGTAGGGCCATCGCGTTGCTGGTTCAAGTTGTAAATGGAGCAGATGTTATCGAGACCACCGCAAGCCACGAAGTTACCACTGGGAGCATAGGCGCAAGTCATAACCCAGGAGGAGCGCAGGGGAATGGCGTGGACCTTGTTGGTGGTATAGGCGTCCCAAATGATGAGCTTGCCATCTTGAGAAGCAGAAACCAGGTGCCTCCTGTCGGTCGACCAGTGCATGGCGTAAATCTTAGCCAAGTGACCCTTCAGTGTTCGCTTGGCTTTCATAAGCTGGTTCTTAGGAATAGGCTCATGAGCCTGTTGTGCGACAGCGCGAACTAAACAATTGAGAGGGACCAAGTTAGCATTGATTCATAGATAAGAATGATATGCCGGCAAGACGCGTGTCGATAAATATCATTGTTGATAGTCATCGTTGTTTCGTTTCCCAGCGGATTTCGGGACCACTAGGCAATCGGGAAGCACGTACGAGTTGTGTCGGCGAGATCATCCTTCTTCCTCTTAATTCGGTCCTTCAGAGTTTCGGCTTCGCGACGAGCCTGCTGAATTCGCGACTGCATAGCCTCGGGGGAGACATCGTTGTTGCCTTGGGAGTTCATCGTGATCGACCAGTCAACTTTTGTTGTCGGATGGTTTTACGCGCGACGGGAGGTGAGATTGGACGATCACCGAGGGCCAAGGGGCGGTATCGATAGATGAATCGAGGTAAGCGGCGACGATACTCAGATTGAAGTCGAGCTCAGGTCGAGCAGCAGAAAAGAGCGACTTTCGAGGGGAGAAATTGACGATGGGCGAAAACAGGAGCTCGGCCGGCTGAGGTTGGTGGATGGATGGAAATGGGCGAAATGCAATGCAAATGCAAGTGGAGAGGGAAAAGGCCGGATGAGAGAGAGGAGCTGGAGGAGAGAGGAGTGAGGAGGATTCTTAGTGGTAGGGGCCTTTAGGGGGGAGGGAATGTGAGCTACAGACCCGACTACAGATGGGACTACCTGCAAGTAGGTACATACAGTACAAGCAGGTCCGGGCAGGGGGGCGTGTGCTTCCATTTGAGTGGGTAATCCCAACCTGGGTGAGAGTGGACGAGTGAGTGGGCGCGGGCTCGACTTGGCCAGTGGCAGCGGCAGAGGCAGCGGTAACAATAATAATGTCCGCAGGCAGATTAATGACCTAGGTAGGTACTTCAAGCAAGCTTCAATTGGCAAGGTAAATCGAACGTACCTTATTAAGGCACGGTTCGGTACGGATACAGATTACGGCAGAATGCTACCTTGAGATACTAACGTAGGTACTAACTAACTGCTAGAGTCAGCCCCAAGTAACCACTGAAGTATAGAAGGATGAAGGATAGCCCTCAACTGGGGCAACATCCAACTTGCTCCTCGTCTTGTTCTCAAGGTAGAGAGAGACATAGAAATTCGACCATGATCAGTTTGACTCAATCGTAACCGTCATCATCTTCACTACCCGCAATCCAATTCTTGACTACCTCATAGAGTTTACCAGCTGACCACAATACCAGTAGCTTTTCAGTATGTCTCAGTCGACTCCAGTTCATCCGTTTTCAGGTACACAAGATTCTGGGGATTTATCCACCAAACATCAAGTACCCCCGAGCCTACCAAAAAAAAGCCCAGCCATCAATTTACAGTGGGCGCTTTCTGCTGCACGAACCTGCAGCTAGAAAGAACCCTGCGGCCGTCGCCGTCGCCCCGACCCTTTTTGTCCACTCCATCCAATCCGACCTCCCTCTCCAGCTCAAGCTCAATTCATCCACTCACCCAAACACCATCAACTTTATGTACCGCACCACAGCTTCCACTATCTACATCATCATATTAACCAGATATTTTGATCAATCGACCGAACATACTCCCATAAAGAATTGCTCAGTCGGTGACCCTGCCACAGCAATGCTCCTATCTGGCCACACAACAATGAGACCCATTGGTCGTTTCCGTTGCCCTACAAGTTGCAAGCACAACGGCGATTCGAGATAAACCAGCCCCTGACCTCGTCCTCGTCCTAGCCATCGCCAACTGAGCCCACCTAAGCTTCCAACAGAAGCTCACCCCGTCCACTGAGCGGCCGAGACAGGTCGTCCTGGCAGCGAACAGGGCTAGAGCCTCGCCCCAGAGCGGAGGGTCTTAACCCGAGCTGGGTAGGTGGAGGACTCGAAGGCGCACCACCCAAGCCAGATTACTACCCAGAATGCGCCCACTGCATGCGTCCGCTTGCTAAAACTGCATCCACCAGAGCCACTGAGGTGATCTCCCGCCAAATTTGACCATCTTCGATAACCCAATGTTATCAATCCAAGTAACGAGGACCAGCAGTTATCATATTATTATCAGAAACAGACTGTATAATCTCTCAAGACACTCGGGCAAACTTGGACTCCAGGTCTCTTCCTCTTTCCCAAACCCTCAGCAAAGGCCCTGGCTTGCCGTCAATCTCTTGGCTAATGGACGATTTCTTGGATTCTGGAACTGTACCCTTCAGGGGAAGCAGCTCGTGTCTGCTTTCATTTTCATGGATGATTAGCAAATCACAGTTCATCTTGAGTACATAGTTACTAGCTACTGGTAGCTCGGGCCCATCTAAGACAAACCCAGAGCCCGCGCTACTTGTTGCCATCCAAGAGATGATCTTTCGCTTCGCTTCATAAGAAGCAGAAGCTAGTCCAAGAGTGCCAACTCCGTCCATGGCCATTTCCATACCTGTCCTGAGCTGGTTTCTGACCCACGAAATTTGGGCCTTGTCGACTCCACCAAGATAATTTAAATCCTCGTTGGCTAGTTTGCTCTCAGGCTCTATACCGAAGGACCTCCCCGGAAAGGAGTTTCAGTGCCTCTGTTGCTGGGGTTATAGTAAGCCACTACGCGAAAGGTCCTTGCATCGCACCTCAGGCTCCCATCTTACATACACACGGCTATCACGATTCACGATCCCACGTAACGGGAATGGGAAGAAACGATTTTTTGCCCTGTTGGGTTTTGCTAGGTGGCCAATGCCCTCCCCCCTTGGATGCTCCAAATCTTCGAATAGGCTTCCATTTTCTCACAGGGCTCTCAGGCATGTAAGTTGGGACCAGAATTCTGACATATGTCAGGTAAGTCCCCAATTGTTGAATATTTTCGGTGACGATCTCATTTGAGACAACATTGAGACAAGATACATTAGGACCCAAACTTCATCGATTCAAAGGAGATGGTTCCATGCTATCTTAATGCCTTGTGCACTTCTCATGTTGCTGTGTCTTCTCTATTCTGCAAATCAATACAAGTCATCCAATATTTCACCCAACTTGGAGCACTTTGCGTCGTTTTCGTGAGAAGGGAATTCCGTTGATTCAATATCCTGCATGGATCAAACAATGCTACGAGCAAACCGGGGAACCGATGGATCCGGAGCACCTTGTGGGCCCGAGCCTCTATTCGAGCTCAGATGAACCCTGGCTTCTCGCAGAACGCAAAGCAGGCCTGTCCAGCAGTGAACTGAAATTCGGACCCTGTTGGTATCAGAACAGTTGGTGTCACTTTTGGTCGCGTCCTGGCTGTCGATCAACCTTCTACTGAAGACGCTCAGATAAAAGAATGTCGCTGTTCACAGACAGTATTTATGTCTGGCGCTACTCAGGATCGAATTGTTGATAGAGCTACTCCTTTAGCCTGTGACACCAACGCCCACCCGCTCCTATATCCGTCGACTGCTCGTACGACTGCCATTCTGTGGCTCAAACTGGAGGTAAATGCAGGCAGCCGGCATCTGTCCAACATTCAAGTCCTAACACGGAGTTTACGCTCTTTCTTGTACATATCTCAGCCAAGTGTGTATGGGTGGTACAGTACCTGCAGCAAAGCAAACACATTTTCGACTGGGACTTTATGCATAGCGTAAGCCCATTAAAATATCGGAGCAAATGCGGATGCCAAAGTTTCACATACAATCCTATATGACATACGCATATACGGCAAGGCATCCAGACTCCAGTGCAACCAGATTCTGGGTTCATTCTCGAACGGCAGTTGCCCACCATCACAGTGACATTCTGTTTCTTATTACCGGAAATGTCTCTGGCGAAGTACAGTATGTATGCACTCGTGCCTTGTTCTGTCACTATTCGTCAAGCATGTTGGCACATCACCTCATGTATGTACCCTGTGGCTTGAGGATTCACATGGCTCTTAGCCTCTTGTCTAGTTTTTGCTGCTCGATCTGCTTGTTGCAGCGATCAGTGCAAAATATCAACGGCTTCAAGAGGCTCCAGCGCAATTTACTACGACCCCGAGATATCCACTTGCGTCCGTTACCGCGCTTGACAAGCCCCTGTAAGCCTGCATCTATGTACATATAAAGTGAGGTTAACCCCCCGTCCCTACCCATTCCTAGTCCGGCCAAGGATAATGAACGATGATGCCCCTTGATCAACTTTGCTCAGGGGTTTATTCGTTATTTAACTTTGGGATCTCTGTATCGAATGGGTCTGGTCCATCGATTTGCAGCAGTATTCTTCCGGTTAACATCCAGGCCCCATGTCTACTATGGTTAACATCATCACTAGCAATTTCGGCTCCATGTCCACGTACGGCCCAGAGCAGGGTTCCTGTTATGAGGTGCTGCCAGATGTCAGGCCAAGATTCGCAAAGACAGGCAACACCAATAATAAGTGAAGTCTTATATACCTGCTCCCTTCATCCATTTAGCCATCCCATTCGCGTCATTACAACCAGCCACTTTGGTAGTTCTCACCCAAGGTGGTTTGCCGCGACTTCAGCAGTCCTCTATCATCCTGTACTCGGCCATGAGTCGAGTAATTATCTGGAGCCAGCCGGCTTGGCATCCCTTACTATGACCAGCTACGGTGTACTCATCGGCAGGACATCTCTTACCGAAGCCACATTTGACGAGTTGGAGCTGGAGAGCTTCGAGCGTTGACCTCCCTACCTCCGTATCCTCCCCGGCGCACGACTCATGTCATACCTCCGCTTATTTCCTATTCAGACTCTCGTGCAGTGCAGCCATGGGTGGTGATTTTGATTGTCAATAATAGGCTCTGTTCTCTATGCAACATATGCTTTGTAGCTACCCAGAGATATATCATAATGCTACTCTCAATGAAACAACTACATACATCTGTATCAATAGACTATCTGTGATATAGCGTGGTCAAGTTGGATGTGTTGTTTTGCTCTCGCAGTCGCCAATTCTTTCTGTTGAGCTGGTGATATTGTGGCCATGACTCAAGAACCATGAACCCTGCAGCAACACCCTCAACTGGGTGAATATGTATGTGCTTTGACGCAGCCATAGGTGCAATGCAACACCAGCTATGGTTCTAGTTACTAAGCCAATACGGTTCGATTGAATATACATAGGGAACTCTGAGTTTGAGCTAGAATGTGTAGTCTTAGATGACTGACGGACAGCAGATCTGGTTTCAGTACGCGGCTCATCAGCAGCACGTACCAGTATTACTGAAGGCACTACCCTATACCAACGGATATTATCCATCATTAAGCAACAAGACTTACATGACGAGGAATCTCGTGAAAGAATAGGCGCGACTGATGATATCTTTCCTTGTTTTAATTACAGTGTACCATAGTATTTTAATACTTTGGAATCACTGTTTGTATTCTTTTGTGTTGGCGGATACTTATACCTAGCAGTGTGGGAAATTACCTATAGTGATTGAAAGTATGATCTTCTGATCCAACGCTAATACGCCGAATAATACAGCCAAACGAGTGTATAAAACAGTTCTCCGACTCTTTGCAGCGTTAGACGCCTAGAGTCCTTGAAATTATGACAGTTAAGAAATGCTTACCTCTGGTAATTTGGACGCCACGAACCTGCAGCATCTTGCATATCTGGCTGTGTATGTAATACGAACAACCATGCAATGCAACAAATGGCACAGCGGCGTAAGCTGACTCACATATCTTGCCATGTCTCGGACTTGAGAACGAGCTGAGCATATGAAAAAGAGCCTCGACCCCAAAAGGTAACGATATTTCCCTGATCTGACTGCCTCGTTCTTATATAATAGCCCTGAATCGACCAGAGCATGTTGAACATGGAGATCCTTGACGTGGTAGTTGTTGGAGCAGGTAAGAGAGCGGCATTCATATCGATTGAGATATCAAAGGATCAGCAAAAAAACAGCAAGCAAGCTTACTTATATCAGGTTGGGCTGGGCTGGCTGCGGCCAAGACTCGCCATCAGTTACACCCTGAAGAATCTTTGGCGGTCTTCGACTCAGCTGCTACACTTGGTGGAACCTGGGCGAAACATCGCCTCTATACAGGCCTGAAAACCAACAACATGCTGGGTACTTACCAGTACCCTGATTTTCCCATGGACACGGAAACTTATGGTGTCAAGCCTGGTCAGCACATTCCTGGCCAGATAGTACACAGATACCTGGAGACCTATGCTCGACACTTTGATGTATATGACAAGATCCGATTTGAGCACAAAGTAGAGACAGCAGAACACCAAGATAACGGCGGTTGGATCCTAACGGTAAAGGACATCAAAGCTGGTGATAGTATCAAGATCCAAGCCAGAAGACTGGTTCTCGCGACAGGTCTCACTTCAGAACCCTTTCTACCAATCTTCCAGGGCCAAGAGGACTTTGGAGCTCCCATATTTCATGCAAAAGAGCTGCGCAACCATGAGGATACATACGGAACGGCCAAATCAGTGACAGTATTTGGAGGGACAAAGTCGGCTTGGGATATGGTATATTTACATGCCACCAAAGGTATTCGAGTGAACTGGGTTATTCGAGGTTGGTAATCCTCAGAGGTCACAGTGGAGTGACTTTACTGACTCCTACAGAATCTGGCCATGGCCCTTCTTGGAATGCTCCTCCTTATGTCACGCCTCTCAAGAAGTGGCTCGAGAAACTCGCCCATGTAAGAATGTTGACATGGTTCAGTCCGTGCAGCTGGGGTGCAGCAGATGGTTACGTGAAGACTCGCAACTTCTACCACGGAACATTCATTGGAAGAGCTATTGTCGACAAGTTCTGGAGTATCCTTGGCAACGACGTTATCACGCTCAACAAATACGACTCTCACTCTGAGACGGCCAAGCTCAAACCCTGGTCCAATGCCATGTTTGTGGCGACGAGTATAGGCATTCTCAACTACGAGAAGGACTTTTTCGAGGTTATCAAGGAAGGGTTGGTCAAGATACATATTGCTGATGTTGAACGGTTGAGTAAGCAGATAGTGCACTTGTCTGATGGCACGGCATTGCATACGGATGTGCTGTGCTGTGCAACGGGCTGGAAACATGTTCCTCCTATCAGATTCCTCCCCGAAGGTATCACTGAGGATATTGGGATGCCTCATACGCCGTCACCGAATTCGTTCCCTTACGCTTCAATACTCGATCAGGTCGATAAGGAGATCTTCGACAAGTTTCCTCGTCTCAAGGACCAGCCCATACAGAAAGTGCAAAATAGCAAGTATCATGCACTACTAGAGGACAAAGGTCTCTCTAGTAATGACGATATCACGCCATCGACAGAGCTGACACCCTACACGCTATATCACTTCATTATCCCTCCTTCAAGTCAGTTCCTCAAGACCCGAGATATTGCTTTCGTGGGAATGGTAGTCAACTTCAGCCACCCCATGGTTTCCCATGTCCAATCGCTCTGGATGAATGCTTTCTTCGATGAAATGATTCCATCTCTGCCTCGAAATCCCTCACCAGAGTTTGTGTCTCGATTCCAGCATAAGGCAGTGCTTCATAGTCGGTTCGGAAAATGGAGATACCCAAGTGGTTTTGGCCACAGCTTTCCAGACTTTGTGTTTGATGCTGTTCCGTATCTGGACCTGCTGCTCAAGGATTTGGGTTTACCGATATACAGGAAGAATGGTGCATTTTCTGAGATGACGGATCCATATGGGCCAGAGGATTACACGACAGTCGTCGATGAGTGGAAGGCAAAGCAAGTTGAGCCAGAAGCTCCATGGTATCAATGGATACACGCGCTCGCTTATTGAAGGATGCCACAACAATACTAGATTAGTCTAGCTTCTGGGATGGTAGGGATGGCTGACTTGAACCTGTAGAGTTATTTCTGTGAATGGAATTCATTGCTTGATTATGCTGACTCCTTGATGCTTCCTGTGATTAGGCAGCAGCACGTTCTTAGTTAGTCACTCACTCGACTTGTATGGCTAAGGCAAGGTAGAGTCGTCCATTTCCTCATCATAGAAAGTCCAACCTCTTGCTCAGTATCTTGACTCAAACCGTGAATCTTCTATAGGAGATCAGAGCCTTGACAGAAAACATGCCTGACACTATTGATTTGACAGGCTCATCACCATCTATGCCACGTCTAATAAGAAGTTCAACTCGAGCACTCTCTTCAACTACAGCATCTCCAAGAAAATGTCAGACAGCAGAAGCTTCCTCTCGCACACCAAAGATAGAGCCTATATCATCTTTATCAAGCCTTGGCCTCTCAGAAGAAGAACACGATGCCCTCGTCTCTAAACGCAACTGGCTGACCTCTCACTCCATTCCTATTCCCCAAGATGCGTTCGAAACTCAGATCTCAATTCCAAAGGGATATTATACATTATTAGCAACATTTGTCTTTGCTCAGTCAGAGGCTGGGACTGCAGTCTGCATCTCGCCCGATGGCGTCCTCCTCACCTGTGCACACTGCGTTGCAGAAGAGCCCTCTGAGCTCACAGCATATACGTCGTACATCCTCCTATCATCACATGGGAACGTTGTTTCAGCGAAAGTGGTAGCTTGGGATCTAATACGTGATCTCGCTTTACTTCAGATCGACAAAGCCGAGCGTTTACGCCGACCGTTTCCCTGTGCCCGTCTCGCGACCTCGCCTCCAAAGTTCAACACTGAGCTACTATGCATCGGCCATCCGGGCTCCGAAGACCTCGAGGCTGAGCATAGTGGTGTAAAGACAGACTACGACACGCTCGTTCTCACCGAGGGGACTTTCCGTGGTCTAGATAAGAATCAGGATCCGCAGGACAACAGCGACATCGGCGCTCTTAAGCATAGCTGCTGGACGTACTGGGGACACAGCGGTGCAGGATTATTTGATCGGAAGACGGGGGCGTTAGTAGGTGTCCATTCGAGCTGGGACGACAAGACAGGCATGAGGAGGGGAGTGCCATTAGAAGCAGTGGTTGCCTTCGTCAAAGAGGTTGAAGCGAGCAAGAGGGAAGACTTTGCAGAGAATTGGCGACGGTATGTGTGGCGGGAGCCAGAGCCCACCACTATGCTCAGAGATTGATATTGGAATAAGAAATGCGCTTAGAAGAGGTAGACTACCATGAAAGAAAGACATGCTCGTTGTCTATCAACTTCAACTTTAACTTGGGAAAGATTACTCTGTGTCTACTCCACACAAGAGTCTGTCTGTTGTCACAAAGCTCTAACATCATGTCCAACTCTCATCAACCGCCAGCATATGCTCTTATGCAAGGCAATGTCCACAAGATCCGACTCTCAGAGATCCTGGCTCCTTTAGCCCTAACACTGTTTGTACATTGACCTGACCTGAACTTAACATGACCCGATCCAACCCGTGCTTCTCGCACATCATTATCAACCCTTCCTCCATGTTCTGTTCTGTACCGCGCTGTGCTGTGCTGTGTTGCGCTGAAATTAAGATGCAAGCCCCAAAAATAGAACGACGATGGACATTCCCGCCGCTTGTTGCAGTATAACACCAACGTTAGTCGACTTTTCAAACGCCGTAACCCGCAATGTCCCCATGATGAATTTGATGAAAAACAAATGCTGCATGCGCATGGATGCCCGTGGCTTGATCGATCACTCCCACAGCAACGTACGTCCTGCCTCAATGAGCAAGTATCCCTTTGACAAAAGCAAATATGTAGGTAGCTTCGAGTGGAACCGGCCGAGGAACCGAGTTGCTCTAAGCTCTCCTCTCCCTCCGGTCGGAAATCTTGAGTTGCCCAGCCCTGCAACTCTCTGAACCCTGGTCTTCAAACAAGCCTCCCCTCTTAGTGTCCGAATCTGTCAATAATGTGATTCAGCCCAAGACAAACGCGGGAAGGCCAGAGCAGTGTCTGGCGTTTTGCCCCATAATGGCCCATGGCTGGTGTTTCAGGTTCACCACCTCAGCTCAGAAACGCTGACCCACTGAAACAAACATCACCAAACGTCATGCAGACACCTCTATCCGTACAGGTTTGACTTTGCCGACTCTTGCCTTGTCCCACTTCCAAGAAACGCATCTAGACCTTGGTCCAGCATCGTACGGCCTTGTAGGTGGTGGTTTGTGCCGCCCCTGCATATCTGACGTACAGTATGCGTCTCGTGCTCACCACTCCGATGGGCTCGGGTTTCGGTAGGCGCCGTCCGATGCTCTGTGTTTGAATCGTTAAGAAACTCCACCACGAAGCACCGATCCCGAGTAGAGTTTAGATGATGCCTCCTGGGGGATCGTAGCCTGTTGGAGCTCCTCTTGAGGTGCTGCCCAGCCCTGCGCTTCCTGGCTCTCCATCTAAAGGTGCTGTTGTTGTCTTTCGTAGCATAAACATGGGTTTCTTGCCTTCCTTGTCCAGTTGCTTAAACAGAATCAATGGCTTCTCCTCAAGACCCAGACAACGTTCCTGATCGCCGTACACAATATAGAGGGCATACTGGTCCCATGGAGCGTTGATCTGGTACTTTTTTAGTGCAGCAGGAAGAACCTTGTAGCAAGGATCTTCCATACTGACACGGAAAGACTTGAAGATCTCGACTGAAGCATTGCTCTGACTGGGTGTATCAGGTACAGGTGTTTCTCGTCGGCGGGGCGGCCCTTGTGGTGCCTTTTCGCGGGAGGCATAGACTGCGTTGGCGTGACCTTCGTCGTTGAAGGTGGTTCGTGTGGAGGGTGTCGGTGCTTCACTGCGGTAGGATCGAGAGGCGAGGGTCGTAGCGGACATGTGGGTCTGAGGAGATGTCGGGGAGGGTATGTTGGGTGAGGGATACGAAGGGGAGGACGAGCCCTGGCCACCTCCGTTCATAGCTGCAAGATGGGAAGACGATAGGACAGCTCGTTCTGCAGCACTTGCGGGGTCTAATGCAGTCTCCGCTATTGACCTTTCGTGCGTAGATTGAGTGGGTGATGCATTCTTTGGTGTAGCTCCGATAAGAATCTTGCGGGTAGAATATTGTCGCTTGACTGAGCTTCCAGATTGACTCGAGCCTGGAGGTGGTGTTGGTGCGGGGGGCGATATGGTTGTTTCGTAGCCGTAGGCCTGCTGGCTGTTACCACTCAGGTTGGGCAATGGTTGCTGCGCATCCTTGACCAAGCGCAAGGCCGGGAGCATATCCTCTCGCAATCGCCTGAAATCTTCTGTCATTCGTCGCAGATCCTGTTCGAGTAGGTTCATGCGTTCATCGCGGAGACGGAATTGTTCGACGAGATGTTTGATGTCCTTGATAGTTGCGGTAGCATATTGCGCTTCGGCGTCGGCGGCTGCAGGGGTTACAGGTTAGAATCAGGCCAGTCCACCCAAGAGGGGAAACGGAGGCAACGTACATAGGGGTAGGTAATGGTCGCTCTCAATAGGGACATCTTGAGCCTTTTTGACATCATATACGCTTTTGAGGATCGTTAGGCGATGTCCCACGCTAGCAATGCCCATGCTCTTGAGATCGTCATGTTGTAACGCCACTAGAGCCTCGCCAACAATCTCGTTTTCTGCAGGTAATCAAATGTTAGCTATCCCAAAATCCCTCCAATGTCTGCGGCACCATCCGTCGAGGAGATGAGATGGCATGCTTTGGGTCAAGACGCACCTATGAAGCGATCGGCATACTGTTGAAGACCAATGGTGCCAATAAAATCAGCACATTCCTCAACAGTCCATTCGGTAATGATGGTTTCTGGGAGACGGTCGGCGCTGCTGCGGTGGCCGTATGTAGTAGGAGTATGCTCTGCGGAGGTCGAGAGCTCGGAGTCTATGGGGGAATGCTCAGAGTTGGTGATAGGAGAGTGGTCGCCCATGCTTCGCTCGTATTCGTCGTCGGCGTCGGACTCGGCGTAAGCTGTGCCACCATCGAAGCTCATCATCCTGAAGACTATGAAAGAACAGTCGCCAACAACGGAGGCGGGGGCTGAGACGAAAGACTATTTCGGGCGACCGTGATGGTGGTGGTGATGCCGCAAACAGACAGATGCGCTTGATCGGGCACCGTCGGATAGAAAGAAAGAAGACGAGCGTTGGCGAAGGACAGTCGGTCGAATGCTTCCAAGTCTTTCATTCAAATCGTAGTCGGAGCGTCGTAAAAAGCGAAGCAATGCTCAGGAGTAGGAGGTGACAGACGTCAGGGTCGAGGAAGTGGGCGCAGCCTGGAGGACGATTGGATTGGATTGGAGTGGATTGAATGCAAGAACAAATCGAGTAGACGAATAGACTAGAAGATAGAATGGGCTGAGGAAAGGCAATGTCGAAGTGGGAAAAAAACGAGCCGATCCCAAGAGAATAAGTAGACACAAGCCGAGACGCCTCGAGGAGGACAAATGCCGTAGAAACGTTAATAGAAAAGAGCCTAGAAAATAAAAAGAGTCGGAGGTAGCCAGAGGAGAAGAAGGCGGCTGGTGGTGATGATGATGACGGGGTGTTTGTGTCTTGGTCTAAGGTCTTGTCTTGTCTTGCTCGGTCTTGGTCCTGGCCCAGTCCCAGTCCCAGCAGGTCTTGCTTGTGCTCTCGCTCGCTCGTGGAAGCGCTTGGGGGTGGAAAAGGGAAGAGGAGGTCCTCCACTCCGAGTCACCTACGGCCTATTGAAATGGCAGCTGTCTCAAGGTACCTAGTACCTGAGCTAGCAGGCCGTGGTAGGCCCTTCCGAGCCCTATACGGATGTACTCCGTACCTATCTCATGACTTGGCCGTTCGCTTGGTGGACCTCGCTGTCGGCCTGGGAGGGACTTTGAATACTGGCCCTCCACTGAGAACACGGCTTGACTCCCGTCCCGCTCCACTGACAGCATCCCCCGGTAGGTACCCCGGCCAGAGCCCCTCACCACTAAATAAGTATCAAGCCTGGCCTGGCTGCCGCTGCTGCAGCCCGTTAACCAGCCCAACCATTCTAATATTCGACCCTCCTCATGCACGTCTCGAAGCAGCCATTGGATGGTTTCTATACCATTTCAGTAAACAAACAATCCAGAGTCAATGCCGCTCTTGGACAACTTCTCTGTCTTGAGTTGCAGTGCGCGTTTAGGAAAGTCTTGGGCGTTGACACAAAACATAATCTAAACCCTGGCAAGTCACTCATTGAAATGTATTGAGCTCCTGGTCCACTCAATTAACCTCAGTTTGTCTCTCCTTCAAACACCATTGGACCTTCAACACCAGGGAAACCATTCAACATGGAAGTTTACGGATGCGAGGCTCACTCAAGCCACATCTCGAGTGACAGTCCGAGGTATTCCAAGGAAACGTCGTGCGTTTGAGACCGAGCCTCCAGCATTCCCGTTCAACAGTGAGGGAATTGACCTTGTAATGATGCTATAGACCCCTTGGAGATTAGCAAACTTCCGAAGCAAGGCATTTGATAACGAATATAGCTTTCATAAAAGTTGAGAAAACATGCCATGGCTGCCCATGAGTATATGCAACGGTTTATCAATGTTCACCGAGGAATGCGAATTGAGATCTTCATGTATACGTTTCTTTGATTAGTAGAAGCAAATCTATGCTGCTTCAGATCTATATCTGTCGACTAACAATTACTCTATATGCTATACACCATCCAAGCCTTGAGACTTAGGTTAGTAGAGTGAGTCTTGCTCATGATTCCCATTCCCAACATGGCCCATTACCTCAACACGCCTTCAACTCCATTATTCCGTTCCAAAAAAAGAAAAAAAGGCCCCCCTCTTGCATGAGAATTTGGGGGCAAAATGGCAACAGCCGCATGGCTAGCCGCCAAGAAGAACAGGGCATTAAACGTCGTGCAACGTCGCGTTCCTTCACAGGACGTATCTATGAAAAGCGTCAAACACCACTCAGACAACCTCCGAGTACATGAGTGATTATAAGGATATATCAAACACCAGAAACAAATTTGATTAAGAGGCCGGGATATTAGCGTAGGGGAATCTTTGAATCCTGGACACCGTGTTGTACAACATCTTCCAGGTTCCAACGGGGGGCCTGAAGGGGGATCCTGTTTTCCTTTCTCCATTCCTTTTCGTTCTTGGGGTTGACGCCCTCGGGAAGATGTTCCAGTCCGCCTGCCACACCGGTCGAGAACTTGATCTGCAGGATG